CCCGCGGGCTCAGGCAATCCACTCACCTCAGCCTCCCAAAGGCGCGGGATTACAGGATGAGCCACCGAGCCCGGCTTCTGTGCCATCTTTTAAAGAAAACTTTTTTTTCTTTGAGTCAGAGCCTCACTTTTGCCCAAGCTGGAGTGCAGTGGCACAATCATGGTCACCAAAGCCTCGACCTGCTAGGCTCAGGCAATCCTTCCACTTCAGTCTTCCAAGTTGCTGGAACTAAAAGATTTTTTAATTTACTGTAGAGACGAGTTCTTGCCAAGTTGCCCAGACTGGTCTCGAATTCCTGGGCTCAGGTAATCCTCTTACCTCCGCCTCCCAAAGTGCTGGGATTACAGGAGTGAGCCATCATGCCCAATCAAGAAAACTTTCTATTAAAGTATAACATACACTCACTGAATTTTCACACAATGTAGATTTGCAACCGGCACCCAGATTAAGAAACAGAACATCACTAGTACCCAGGAAGTTCCCATCATAAACCACCCCAACAATTATCCTGACTTCTAACAGTATAGGTTAGTTTTGCCTCATAAATGAAACTAAATTTGGCCTGAGAAGACCTCATATTCACATACTTGAGTTCTTACATTATAAACTGCAACCTAGGCTGTGCGGGGGCTCACTCCCAGCACTTTGGGAAAATAGCCTGGGCAACCTGACGACACCTCGTCCCTACAATAAATGAATAAAATTAGCCAGGCATGGTGGCCCACGCCTGTAGTCCCAGTTACTCGGAAGGATCGCCTGAGCCCTGGAGTTTGAGGCTACGGTGAGCCCCGATTGTGGCACTTCACTCCGACTCAAAAACCAAACCAAACCAAAAAACCCAACCCAACCCAAAAAGCCTGCGCGGTCTTAGGTGAATCTGGCCAGGGCTTCTACTTCAAAGACGGCGCGGATCAGCTGAGGCCAAGGCCAGGCAGGCCCTGCCCCACCTCTCTCTAGCTCACGGTTCCGCCCGGCAGGGACCCAGGGAGGGGGTGCACCACCGCACCCGCGATCTAGGGGCAAAGACGGGGTTCGCCCAGGATCACCAGTGCACTCAAGGTCTTTCCCCCGACCGCGCCACAGTAAGCATTTGTAAAAGCGGCAGAGGGGAGGGAGTACTCC